ACTACATCCACCACCTCACCACTACATCCACCACCTCATCACTACATCCACCACCTGCACCACTACATCCACCACCTCACCACTACATCCACCACCAGGCCACTACATCCACCACCTCACCACTACATCCACCACCTCACCACTACATCCACCACCTCATCACTACATCCACCACCTCATCACTACATCCACCACCGCACCACTACATCCACCACCACACCACTACATCCACCACCCCACCACTACATCCACCACCAGGCCACTACATCCACAACCGCACCACTACATCCACCACCATACCACTACATCCACCACCACACGCACTACATCCACCACCATACCACTACATCCACCACCACACCACCACTACATCCACCACCACACCACTACATCCACCACCTCACCACTACATCCACCACCTCACCACTACATCCACCACCACACCACTACATCCACCACCATACCACTACATCCACCACCTCACCACTACATCCACCACCACACCACTACATCCACCACCTCATCACTACATCCACCACCTCACCACTACATCCACCACCTCACCACTACATCCACCACCTCACCACTACATCCACCACCTCACCACTACATCCACCACCTCACCACTACATCCACCACCACACCACTACGTACACCACCTCACAACTACATCCACCACCTCACCACTACATCAACCTCACCACTACATCCTCATCACACCACTACATCCACCACCTCATGTCAACAATCCCCAGAACATCCCATCCCATGTCTCAGCAGAGGACATAAGGTTACGGTACACATTACCTTCCGTGGCCTTTTGATATGAGTTAGGATTATATACTTGCTACCTTATCTTAAACGAGGGCAATGCTCAACCTGATTTGCATCTCTGAACTCTGAGGTCTGTGCAGTAATCGCTCCCGATAAAAATATTTTAGTGCCCGTCACAGACAAATCGATCAAAGGTGCATTTAAATGATGCAGTTCTTAACGTTATGCTCAAGCGGGAAAGTCCCGGGAAACTGTTACCAACCCTGGAACAAGCACCAGATTGCGAGAGCTCCAGACACACACCGAGGGTTTGCTATGATTTTCATAAAAGTGCTGGGGCCATATACAGGCCCTTCCTAAGGCCAATGTTGTTGCGCCAGTTCCATTAAATCGGCGTGTCATTGACCCGTTGGGACACTGACACTTAAATACCTCCACCACCACTGACACTTCAATATCTCCACCACCACTGACACTTAAATACCTCCACCACCACTGACACTTACATACCTCCACCACTACTGACACTTAAATATCTCCACCACCACTGACACTTAAATACCTCCACCACTACTGACACTTAAATACCTCCACCACCACTGACACTTAAATACCTCCACCACCACTGACACTTAAATACCTCCACCACCACTGACACTTCAATATCTCCACCACCACTGACACTTAAATACCTCCACCACCACTGACACTTACATACCTCAACCACCACTGACACTAAAATATCTCCACCACCACTGACACGTAAATATCTCCACCACCACTGACACTAAAATACCTCCACCACCACTGACACTTAAATACCTCCACCACCACTGACACTTACATACCTCCACCACCACTGACACTAAAATACCTCCACCACCACTGACACGTAAATACCTCCACCACCACTGACACTTAAATATCTCCACCACCACTGACACTTAAATACCTCCACCACTACTGACACTTAAATATCTCCACCACCACTGACACTTAAATACCTCCACCACCACTGACATGTAAATATCTCCACCACCACTGACACTTAAATACCTCCACCACCACTGACACTTAAATATCTCCACCACCACTGACACTTAAATACCTCCACCACCACTGACACTAAAATATCTCCACCACCACTGACACTTAAATATCTCCACCACCACTGACACTTAAATACATCCACCACCACTGACACTTAAATACCTCCACCACCACTGACACTAAAATATCTCCACCACCACTGACACTTAAATATCTCCACCACCACTGACACTTAAATACCTCCACCACCACTGACATGTAAATATCTCCACCACCACTGACACTTAAATATCTCCACCAATAGATCCTATATCCATCCAAGCATTGGCAACTTGCAGATACTCTAATCCTAAGTGAATTAGCTTATCCAATCAGCAAACAGTTTGAACAACAACATGCCAGTATAAAAAAATCCCTTACCCAGGCGCCAGTCAGTCTCGGGATTTGAGGGATTTGAAAAGGCGCACATACCTTTTTATGTAGCATAAACGTAAGTACTTCACTTCTAACAGCTATTATAGTTGGTTTTACCTGTAAAATTATGCAATGGACATACTAAGACGCCTTTCATGCGATTCTCTTTATATTCACTGTTTTACTTTACAGTGTATGTTGACACTGAGGAATTAATTGGATCAGGACTTGTTTAGAGTATTCGGCTGAATAATGTCCACACATATGGGTCTTGAACGTCTATAGGTTGGAGACAAAATTTGGGAATGGTAGGGTAGCATATGTTGTGACATAGGTACCATTCTATACTACACGGTGTATGTTGACACTGTAGACATTCTTGGATGAGGATTGTTTTGCAGTATTCAGTTGAAACATTCTGTTATTGTCTATACTCATGTGTCTTCAACGGCTTTAGGTTTGAGCAAAATGGGAATGGTAGGGTCGCATATACACCTGGTTGTGACATAGGTGCCATTTCCCGTCGTGAAACTGTGTATTTGGACGTTATTTGGTTTTATCACAAATACAAAAATGTAAAAGATGTTACTATACTTTAGTACGAAATCCATGTTTTATTAAACATAATCTTCATTTCAGTTTTCCGAGATGTTCTGTTCGAGATTGGAATGGCTTCTTGTCGGAGTGGTGGTGATGATGTTCCAGCAGGCTATGTCGGAAGGTATGGTAATTAAATTGTGACTAGTTTCTGTGTGTTTTTCCGTTCTGGTAACTGGAGTCCATTTCCATCGTCTAACCTTATTCAGAATCGAGTCATTTTAAAACGGATGCATTTATGCATTTAACTCTATGGTTTGAGATGCAATATAAAATTCACATTTTCATGAATATAATCTCAGGAGTGACAGATTAATATCGATATATTTATGGTACATTGTTTAAGAGGGAACAAGAAACATGTTGTCTCTATCTAGTGCGACTTAAAGACATCAAGTGTTACTCGTGTACATTTGATTAAAAAAATTGTTATTCCAAAATGTAGGGGGCACTGGGACATAATTGAAACTTTCAATAGATATTTGAGACATTATGTCCAAATTGCCTTGGCAGGATCGACTAACGATGTCTTGTTCAATGTAATGGGCACAGTGGGAATGTTGTAGGAGGGGGCGATAAGCAGCGGTCCTACCAAACAGCATTCTGTTTGGACTCAGCTCTGCACACTTGACAAAACTCCAGAAAATCCAAAACGTTGCAGCCCGCATTGTATCCCTAACATCTAAAAGATCTCACATAACCCCTGTCCTAAAGTCTCTTCACTGGATGCCCATCCAAGCCAGAATCGAATTCAAGATCTTGACCATTGTGTTCCAATGTCTACATGACCTAGCGCCTCAGTACCTCTCTGAACTCATCTCAGTGTACACACCACCACGACAGCTGAGATCACACCAACAGTTCCTCCTAACAACACCCCCTTGTCAATCTCAAGAACTATGGTCACTATGGACTTATTCAAATCTTCATTGAAGACCCATCTTTTCAGGAAATATTACGAATGACTTGTACAATTGCTGCAGTGTTTTAGCTTTACACACGGGGCGCCATGAGCATACACTAGTGTGTGGAAACGGCGCCATACAAGTGGACATTATTATTATTATTATTATTATTATTACCTCGGACCCGCATTCACATTTATGTACAAACCCTATCGCGGGTACAGAGCCTAACGCAGAAACAGACCCTACCGCGGGTACAAACCCTATCGTGGGTACAGACTCTATCGCGGGTACAGACCCTGTCACGGGTACAGACACTATCGCGGGTACAGACCCTGTCACGGGTACAGACCCTGTCACGGGTAAAGACCCTAACGCAGAAAGAGATCCTAACGCGGGTGAAAAACCCTATCACGGGTACAGACCCTATCGCGGGTACAGATCCTAACGCGGGTGCAAACCCTATCGCGGGTACAGACCCTGTCACGGGTACGGATCCTGTCACGGGTACAGACCCTATCGCGGGTACAGATCCTAACGCAGAAACAGATCCTAACGCGGGTGCAAACCCTATCGCAGGTACAGACCCGATACATGTAAAACACATTGCTACGATTATGTACAATATTCTTCAATATTTATTCGGTGTGGTGTGATGTGATGGAGCGGAAAAGTGATATTATTTGGCGGGATAATGTGGAATGGGAGTGTTTGTAAACAGACGTTGAGTGGTGGCTGCTTGTAGTTTACTGACTATAAACCGATACAGCTGAGTAATTCTCGATTACGTTATGTTCTAGGGATAGTTTTTTGTGTTAAATACACAACAAACAGGGAACACAATACAACCGGTAGTGAAGTATAACAATATACGCCATGACCACCGCCAATGGACCTTTGGGAAACTTGTGAAAATTCAAAGTTTAAACGACGAGGGATGCTTCTTTGAGTGGCATTTTAGAAGTTGAGAAGTTCAAAATAGAACAAACTTTAAGGATAACAACTTCTTTTATTCGTGAGTGCGACGTTTCGATACAGATTCTTGTACCGTTGTCAAGCATAATGGGACATGAAGAAGGGGGAGTATATATATACTTGATGTAACAATGTAACAAAGAAAACAACCTAATTAACATAATTGGCTAGGCAGAAAGCTGATGAAGCCAGAGAGTAGACAAAGGACAGGCGTGGAAGCCAATGATGTACAAATAATAATGAGATGTTTATACAGCAGAGTTTATACAGTAAGGGATGCTGCAAGTCAGTCTCCACCCACTCACGCATGTCCTTGACTTGGACGTCTCCCTTTCATGTCCACGTGATCACAAGGCGAGGGATGCTGTCCTACTTCTCACGCAACGTTAAGCCAACGTTGTCGGCCGCCTATATCGCTGACCAAAAAGACTATCGCTTAGTCCCTGAATATATTTAATATCGATGGTAACAAATAGACCCATTTAAATTGAAAAGTAGCCCTAGTGAGTTGGGAGCTTCAGGAACCTGAACCTGGGGGAAATCTAGACTTGCTATGTTTAGAGTTTTACCATTGCAAGGAGAGCTGGGTTGAAGAGAAAAAAATGTTATTAAGCAGACATCTACCTCTCATGTATTTTCCAAACAAATGGATGCTGGGCTGCGAGGCGAGACGAGCACAGACGATTTGTGCCAGTAGGATGCCATTACCGAACCTCCGCCAAATCAGGTATGATGTCTCAGACTGACATTGGCATTCGTGACCAACTGGTGTTATTCCGGGACAAGCCGAATAGCGACTCGTGCCCTCTGGAAGGATTTCATATTGGCGTAGGAACATCAGAACTACTTCAAACAGGAACGATAACTCTATTCCTGTTTGATTCCAATGGTACTTAATATCACCGAAGTACTCATACATTGTATTGCTGTTTTTGTTTTTGCTATTTATTCCAAAGAATTCTTGGTACAACTAAAAGAAAGAAAAAAAGATATTTGTTAAAGACATATCCTGACGTAATTTTATCAGATATTCACCTTATATTTCCAATTATATTTCTGAAAAGGGTTCAATAATCACAAATGGGATTTGTTTTTTTTAAATTTGCAAATCAAATTTGTAAAAAAACACACGCTACATTAAATCCCAATGCAGAAACTCAAAAAATGACTTTTATAATATTAGTCAAACTGAACATACGTGTTACCTTGCTACCACAAGTGGAATTTTAACTGAATTCGCTGAAAAATATATGAATGACTACAAGAAGGTCAGACTAAAATATTCCCAGAGAATTGAAATATATGCCCAATGTTAAAGATTAAAGTTGATTAGTTACATACAGATATAATATTATTGTTTTGAAACTCGTAGCGATATATAATTACATTTCCTAAACTTGTTGGAAGCGCACGTACAATCTCGATAGCAAGCCCGCAAGATCACCCTCAGTTGGACCCATGAGAGCCGTTATGTCAACAAACGCACGTGCGTCTATTTGAATCTCTCACCGTCAATCGCATGATTCTTATCCAAAACTTCACATTAGACAGCAAAATCCTGTTAGCTAAGTTCTTTGTACTTTCAATATGACGATATATATTTTTCATGATTTTTTAAGCAATGACATAATGCCATAAACGATTTAAGAACTCGGGATTATTTTTACCAAAGCACCGCAGTCATTTACGCGCGTTCTGATTGGTTTGTCGTATTTTCGCACATAACAAGCATCGAGAGGGGGACGAGTCTTCTTGAAGGTTACGGAAAGGGGCGAGTGGTGACGAATGTGACATTGGTTGACGTTCATTTCACCATGACCACACCCATCAGTGCAAGTGAACTGGGACTCAACTGAAGACACGTCAAACGACGACCACCCTCCATTGTCATTGGCCGGCAGTTTCCAGTTTGCGCACATTCCGTTTATTTCTCGGGCGTTGAAGACCCTGCATCGCCACCTCAGAAACAAACAATTCATGAATATATGTTAGAACTGTGTGATAAGCACAAGTTAGTTTACAAGCACACATTTATTACTTGTTCATAAAGGGTTTGATAACATCCGCTAAAGGACAAACAATTTCAAGTTGATTTACGCCTTATTTCCCTACGTATGAAAGAAAACTCCGAGACCTTCGGTTGACAGATGGAAATCCTTTAACAAATCCTATTCGACGAGTTTTCTACATTTATTGGTTGGTTGTCCCAGTTTACAAATTCAAAGACAGACAGCCTATATATTTCAAGAAGGATGTGTGTCAGCTGGTTAAAATATAATTTCTTCACCACCATATGCCCCTCTTTTTCAAGCGTTGCAACTCCATATTATGTTGGGAAAAAGTCCCTTCGGTTGGCAGCGACCCCTTAACTCCGGACACAGCCACTGCAAACGCCATGTACCCTCTTGTTCCAACTTCCAATAGGCCAATTGCGCGTAACCTTTCCTCACTCGACAGACACCACGTGAAGAAAATAAATAGTTCAAAACAAGAATTGAACACCTTTCACTGTTTATTATTGAAATGTACAGCAACATACTGGCACCTTTCGCTGTAAATATCGACTCTACCCCGACCATGTTTATGAACACTTCATGGAAAACGACTGCTCGAGATCGGCATGTCCATTGTTTAAAAACATATAGGTTGATTCCCAAATAACCACCCACCCCCCACCCCCACACACAAAAATCGATTGCCTCTTTTTTATATTATGTAATCATGACAAAACTATCAATTTAACTTCGATCTCCACCCTTCCACCCCCGCCACCGAAGGCAATGCCCCTTTCTCACATGACACTCAAACATGAAGGCTACATGCATAATATTTGTAATGCCACGCATGTGTAGTAATTCTCTGTTTATCGTCAGATCCAGTAAATGGGGGATTCACTCCGTGGTCTACATGGGACAGCCCCGATTGTTCAGTTACCTGCGGAGTAACAGCCATAAAACATGAGAGAAGAAAAAGGTCATACAGACACCCGGCCCCAGCGTATGGCAGTGAAGCAACTGAACAGATTAGGAAAGTCGGTTGTGGATTGCCTAGATGTCAAGGTAAGATTATTGACATTTAGATTATCTAAACAGTTAAATAAGCTCAATGATACCAAGGCATGAATCTAGTGTGATCCAACATTCACACGGGGAATTGTAATAAGAGGAAGACTAAATATGCAGTCAATACACACTTAGTATCATGGTGTACCGATAAACTTGGTTAGTTTACTGGGCACGATTCGTGCTCTGAAAATATTCGTGTTAAGTTTCCAATATAATATGATTAATTTATTTTCAGTCTTACGTGATTTTAGATTTGAAACATATTCATGGATGTTTTCATTTGTTTCCTTGTTCATTACACATATACTCATGCCAATAATGGTTGTCACCCCCTTCAATTTCTTTAATTGGAGAGGGGGTGTGGGTGTGAGGTGTGTATGGGGTTGGGGTGGGGAGGGGGGTGACAACAAGTATTGGCATGAGTATATATCACATGAATTCACTTTTAGCATGAGCAGCATTGACTATAATGTATTTGGATGCCGATTCATTTAGGTACACAAACGTAAACGCCTTTTCAATAAAATACTTTTCGCTACAAGAATCACGTTTCATTAATACTCCCTCACCGAAACAAACCTATAAATAGAAACAAAATCCTCACTGAACATACAACCAAAACCTGCACCTCTCACACTATACAAATATTCAAATTGCAAGTTATCTAAATTAACAATTACTTAAATCAAATGTACTCTGTTTTGGTTCTGTGATCAGATGCCTGGATGAGGACATTATATGACATTATACTATAATCAGTTGATGGTTTAACTTGTCAAATTAAGGTATGTGTTTTGCAAGGACAATACAGTTTACATAATTAAAAGTCAAATCACAATTCACTTTAAATATGTTCTCACCATCGAAGTAAAATTTCAGTAAAATACAAACCCTCCTATCTAATCTGTCAAACAGTAGAAATTGAAAGTGTTCAGTAATATTCTGGATCGACAAAGAAAGAGAACTTATGTGTATTCCTAATTAAACCTACTACTGTTCGTGTGCCGGAGTCCATTACAGGCAATACGTCGGACGTGACAACCCTCGATAACAGTGAACCCTCCCTGCAACAGATGGTATAATAAACATGTCAACATGGACATGGATGTAACATAACAATATTAGTTTGCTTAGAAACTAAAAACTGCCTGAAGTGACAAGACTCATCAAAATATGAAAAATCCTTAAACACATATAGCCGTTTCTTAATGTGGCATAGATCCATCCAGCAGTTTGTTGTATAGGCAAATCGTCCTGTCTCAATATCCAAAAACCTGCTGGCATTCCTGATTTCATATATTCACAACCTAAGCCTTGGTCATTTGTAACTTTCTATGTGAAATGTTATGTATTGTATCATGCAATCTATATTTTGAAATTTATTATGTATTCTGTACACCAAGAATATTGTACATACTGTTTGTACCCTGGGCCTAACACCCATTATACTGACTAAAATAATTGAATTGAATCAATAATCTTTAACGCTGATTAAGCAATCTTTCAGCTCTTAATCGTGACATCCCAGGTCATTAACCCGTGGTCGTGTTTGGTCCTGTGCATAGAGCTCAACTCAGAGTTAGATTGTTTTAATTTGTACATAATTCCATAACCTGGTGGGCGAATTAATTTTATCAAAAACAATCTGAATATTTAACTACACAATCGTTTCTGGAATACTACCAATACAGTTGATTCGTGAGGACGGTAACTCATAGCATATGGAAATTAACCACGCAACATCCACCTTTCTCAGACTAAGTGACTTTATTCAACCGGTGCATAAAATGTGTCAAAGATGTCCGCATCAAATGAATTTTGTAGTGAAAAGATAGGGGTAAGGAGAAATAGCCAATGGCACAATAACATTATCTCGTTTATTTGAAGATGGGGATTGAAAAGATTGGAAAATGATGTCGCTTCATGCATAATATTACGAATTTCACTTATCTTTACTTAACCATGCACACATCTTGTTCACGGAATTAAGGAATAAAGTCCTTCAAGACCAGATACTAACTTTCCATCAGTTTGTTCTGAAGCCTTCCTGCACACGAACAACAGATTCAAATGATTTTGAAATGATGGAAGGATTGAGCCTAACTTGATGTCCAATTTGGCTGAGGGACATTCCTGTATTTCTCATGTCATTAATTTGCCACTTTGTAGCTTTTGACAATTTACGACGTACCATGACATTTAAAGTACTGAATATTCAATACAAATTGAAAGGGGATGTACATTCTCACACACAAACGTGCACGCATTTAATCCCTTTACATATGTTTATGACCGGTTCCACCAGTGGGGCAGGGTAAGGTCATCCTTTCGCGAACACCCGGTATCAGGACTCTTTAGTAGTGATTCATATACACATAAACTCACGATCACGTTTATGGTACCGAAAACCCAGAAGCTTTATTAGGGCGAATGGGGATTCGACCCAACGATCATAAGTATTGCTAGGAGTGTCACCTCTGCATTCCAGAAACGACTGGGCTCTCCATGCCCCCAGCAGTCAATTATACGGATGTCACGGTATATGTGCCTCACGATACGATATGTATCTCGAAACGGAGGTCACATTCGATACGTATCGCGATACATTTCCGACATATTGAGCTTAGACGTCCTCACCTGAATGGCAAACTCATACCATACCATATATATAACATACCTGGTGTTCTGTATAACAAACTAAGAAGAGAAAAATGAGTTACGTTCACTGTTAATAATTAACAATGTCCTGTTTAATTAACATGTTTTGTATGAAATAATAATGAAATAAATGGTGCAACATCAAAATAATACTCGATATATGTCAAAATATGAATCGATACTAAAACGTATGAATTGTGTATCATATCCCGCAAAACTTCCCGGCACTGGTGCATCGATGAATCGTGACATTACTAGTTAATAAAGCTGAGTATTTACCTTCAAGATGGAAACTTCCTCTTATCACATTTTGGACTTTACTCTGTATCCTGAAATAAAATATGTTTTTTTCTTTTCAGGTGATGAATAATTCAAAGACACCAGTGTCTTATTCCACACTGGACAGCAATTTTCTGCTGACTTGCAGACATCTTCAACAGTTTACTGTCATGTATCTCTACTAATCATGAAATGTAACAATACCTATATTTGACATATTCAAACAGACTTTATTATCAACAACAAAAAGCATGTTCCTCGCGTGACTTCGTATTCTTTCGACACTCAATCTTAGCTTCACGATACTATCCACTTTCATCTCTTTGCAAAACGTTTAAATATCCCAAGTTGTTATTTAATTATTGTATTCAAGCAGATGTGCGAGACAAATGAGGCATTTTTTTACTGTATGTAGTTTTGACTCCAACACTAGACAACAGTCTACTACTGGCTTGCAGATACCTTTACCATACAGTACAAAATATCCCTACTAATCGTTAAATATCCCTTCGTGTATTTTACTTGTTGTTTTCAAACTGAGTTAAGTATCAACATCGGAAAGAATGTTCGCTAGTTGTACATCACTCTACAATTGACTAACACAGCAACAGAACTGATTGCCATCAGTCTGCAAAATACTAAAATGTGAGTCTAGGTCAAAAGCCCCTCAGGACAAAAGCTCCCCACTTCATGTAGTAATGGGAAAATAATACTAAAGACAAGGGCATCTGAATAAGAAATAAATATACTTTTACGATAATGTATTGTAAGTGCAAGAATTATTCATATACACAAAAAATATTGTTTACATTAAAACATATAATGTTGCGAAACGTTATTGTGAGAGTAAGAAATGCACAAAGAAATAAATGTTAAACATATTTTAAGGCCAGTCCTTTAACAATTTACAATGTACATTTATAAATAATGAAGCGGTACACAAAAAGGACCTCTAACCGCAAGGTTGGTTTTCAGTAATCCTCTACAATCCAGTTCCCTGTGTTTGGTGCATTCCCAACGCATGTATGACTTGCTTGCAGTCTTCCTTGTGAACATAGGACAACTTGATACCTGCCTTGTTGATGCGTATTAAATTCATGATCAATTTTTAGTCAACTGTCTTTCCCATTTTCTCCATTTCCTTACATTGATGTGATAAAATACTTAAAATACTTGATAAAATATGTAAGAGCAATGACATATATGAATCGAGGGCCTTTTACGGGGGTGCTGAAATTAGCGAGGGGCTTTTGCTCGAGGGGCTTTTGTCCTGATGGGCTTTTTGGTCGGTACCCTAAAATGTATACTTACAGCATTCACACAGTACGATGTTCGAGACAAATAAGAGATGTATTGTTTGGAGGTCTGTTGTATGGAAGGAGACAATGTTTTGTTTTGCTTTTAAGACCCCTGAATGTATTCTGAAATGAATATTTTTCTTACAAAATGGATATTTGTTACTTCATTAGAGAACATCGATAACCTGTTTTCGACCATGCTTCACTTTTCTGTCAAATTGCCGGTGATTCGAATTCGCTATATGATATGAGATTCTTACAGATGTCAAAACCTTTTCGTCATCAATGACAACCTCCTCCCAAGAACATCCGCTCACCAGAAAGTGCCACGTGTCTTTACCATGTCTCGTAGTGGCATTGATCCTGCATTTCCCGTCTGTGCTTAACAACATGGGCTGGATGTGCTACAGTATTTAGAAACATGTAAATCCCCAAAAGAGAAACATTTGGAGCTCTGCAATAAACCTGTTATCTCTGTCATTTTCAGCCCTATCTGTGTTCAAACTATATTACTTGGAGGTTCATCGTTTATCTGTTTATAAAATGCGATATTGTGAAACATTAAATATGCTAATACACTGATTTACATAACTATATTTGTCTTTCATTCTTTTTCACTCTCATTCAAAACGACGGTGAAGATTCTTTTGTCAGCCAGTGTATGTAACATTTGACCTCTTAGTAATAGGCATTGTGTATTCAATGTGCAAATATATTTCAAATCAAATGGTGGACTCAACAGTTTCAGCCGCAGATCATGTCACCGTGTATGTGAGTGAGTGAGTGAGTGAATTTATAATATCAGTATAATTGGTCATCTGCAGAGGTGAAATAGAGCTTCACGTCAAATTTAGTACATTCACGCATGCATGTCTATTGAATGGTAGTTCTGTGTTCGGCGCCTAACAGTCAACTGGTCCCAATTATGAGTTAGCAGAGTAACATATTTGTGTCCATGTTACTGTCCCTATCACACCTTATCACACCTTATCACACCTTATCATTTTGCATCACACTCATGACGGGCACTATAGGTTGGGCAGGCGAGCTCACACTCATGTCACATGATACTGATATGGCAGCTAACACTACCACCTTATGATATACGGGACATATCAATGGCATTTTAAAATTGGTGGATTAAATTCGTAACTATGATTGTCAGTGGTTGTATCCTCAAAGCGGGTTAAAGTACTGTAAAGTACTCCTCCTGAGAGTATACGCAAATCCCAAACCATTCAAAGTATATTTAATCTAACTACGTTTCTAATCGCAGAATATGTGTTCTTTTATGGTGATCTACCTTCAGTAGTTGGTGGTCTATAGCCCGTTTTTTTTAATACTGTTTTCTATAGTGATTTAATTATATGATAGCATACTAGTTTTAAATTTATATCTGTGATACATTAGTATTTTTACTGTCCTGCGATTACAGTTTTTTACGTTCTAAATTTATTGATTTTACTATTGATATTAATTAAATTGTTCTCAAGGCGGGTTTGAATAAACAATGATGTCATCAATGCTAAACAATGCTAAACTTTGCATGCTAAACAATTTTACAAATGTAAACGTGGTAGACAATGTCCTTTCAAGCTTTGATATACTCTGCAAAAAAAGAAACGCACAGGTGATAATGAAATTTAAAATTAACTTTATTTTATTTCTATGCAAACAAAACCCGGTTACTTTAACCAAACATAATGTATACTTGTTCATATCCATTAAGTATCGCTCAAACACACCATTTCATGAAATATTGTTGTTTGATGATGGTTTTGAAAATATCATGGAATTTTCACGTGTAAATGACACTTCGAACGATATGCACGTGAAAGTTGCTTCACCTATGCACCAGTGTGTAGGGTATATGAGGAAGGCAGTTTAACGTGTTCAATTCACTTTCAACGCCAGTTTACTGACGAATTCAACATGCCACGACTTAGCGAAGCTGACCGGAACATCGCCATCGGACGTCTTGAGGCAGGCGAATCTCAGTCATCAGTTGCAAGACACTTCAACGTGCATCACACAACAATTTCCCGTTTATGGAGGCGCTACAATCAACTGGGCTCGACCCGCGACCGACCTCGGAGTGGTAGACCACGGGTAACCAATGCTGCACAGGACCGCTACATCCGGGTGTTCCATTTACGTAACCGGGCCGTCCCAGCAACACAAACAGCAGAGAACGTCCCAGGTCTTCGCCGCGTCTCCGCCCAGACCATCAGAAATCGCCTCAGACAGCACGGGATACGCCCTCGACGACCTCACGTAGGATGCACACTACGACCTCATCATCGCCTGGCACGTGTTCGATGGTGCAGGAACGTCCAGAGATGGAATTGGAGACATTGGCAGCGAATTTGGTTCAGCGACGAATCTCGTTTCCAACTTCAAAGACACGATGGTAGGACGAGGGTCTATAGACGGAGAAACGAACGTTACGCCCGTAATTGTGTAGTTGAAGCGGACAGATTTGGAGGGGAAGTGTGATGGTATGGGGGCCATTTCTTACAACGGAGAAGTGACTTGGTGCACGTCCGTGGTAACCTGACTGCAATTCGTTACAGGGATGAAATTCTGCAACGTCATCTTTACCTGTCATCAACCCTCAACGTCACGTTTTCCAACAGGACAACGCCAGACCGCACGTGGCTCGCATCACGATGGACTACCTGACGAATCAGAACATCACAGTTCTTCCCTGGCCTTCAAAATCCCCGATTTGAACCCAATACAGCATTTGTGGGATCAGCTTGGGAAACGCGTTCGACGTCGTCAGCCTCAACCCCAAACGTTGCAACAACTGTCTCAAGCCTTGCAGGAGGAATGGAGGAGGATCCCCAAGCACGGATTCAAAGACTGATCATGTCCATGGACAGGAGGTGCCAAGCTGTGTTGCAAGCTCGAGGTGGTCACAACAGGTACTGACCTCCACGCCATCTGTACGCCCGGTGCAATGGTTTCAGAGACAAATGATAGCTGCATGTTGTAAAGCTGACTCTTGACAACATCCATGTGAAATTTTACGTTCGTGCGATCATTAGTTAAAGTTTTATTTGGAAACAAAATAAAGTGTTTACATTCCTGAGTTTTCACCTGTGCGTTTCTTTTTTTGTAGAGTATATGTTGCTGGCAGTTGTATCCAGTGAGTTCCCTCCCATGTTTGGCAGCAGGAAGAAAGAAACTTGAGATGAAATATCCCTTGCTTTAGTTTCTGCATGTATTTGTATCCATCTCTGTACCTTTGGTCTTACCAGAAGTATTTGATTTACAGTAAATGTCATGTCCTGTTTATTTTAGGCATTCGTCACCACTCGTCCCTTTCCGTAACCTCCAAAAACACTAGTCCCCACTCGCGATGAAAGTTTTGTTCGAAAATACGACTAACCAATCAGAACGCGCCTTTTGATCGGAGTACCTTGATGAAAACAATCCAGAGTACATAAATCGTTTATTGTAAACCAAAAGTCACTGTGTTCTTTAATCTGATTGGTTGAGAAACGTGATCAAATGGTATTCGATTCCCGGACATTCGCTGCGTATTAATACATACAAACATCGCTCACACCATTGTATTGTTACGTCGTCAGCAGTGATGACGTCATTCAAATCATATTGTGACGTAGAGTCCGAATGACGTCACAAATGAGTAGTTCCAGATGCTACCGTAAAAGACAGCCGAAACGGCCGGTTGATGACATTTCACTGCTGTACCCATACACGATGTCAATGAGTGCAGACACAAAAACGTGTGTGGACCTTTTAGTTTACGTTTGTGTTTACAATGTCGATTTCAAATGAATTCCCGTGCTTCAAATACTCAATAACACCCGGAAATTGGCCAACACATGATGTTTATCTCCTAATTGTATTTTGTGATTGTTAAAAGGAAAAATATATATCGTCATATTGACAGTACAATGAATGTAGCTATCAGAATTGCGTTTCCTAATGTGAAGCGAAGACTAAGCAATTACCATGAACGGTGAGAGATTCGAATACACACACAGGCGTTCGTTTACATAACGGTTCGCATACGTCCAAGTGAGTGTTTTTCTGATGATCTTGCTGATTTCCGCTTTCGAACACTTTTATAAAAATATAATTATGAATCGTTGCGATTTTTAAAACAATATAGTATTATTTATAAGTAATCAACTTTAATCTTTAACATTGGATTTACATTTCACATCTCTGGGGATATTTTAGTCAGACCTTTCTGGGGTCCTTCATATTTTTCAGCGAATTCATTTAAAATTCCAGCAGGGGTGAGACAGCAAGGTTGCACGAATGTTCAGTTTGAAAAATATTATGAAGTCATATTTGAGCATCTGTTCTGGTGATCTTAGGTAGCGGGGAAAATATTTGTATATTTGCATATTCCATAAAACCAACCCCTCATGTGATTCTTCAATATTCAAAAATATACCTTTGGAATATATTGTGAACAGCTGGTGATAATTACGTTTATTCATTACCATTCCCCATCCTCGTAACCTCCAAGATGATTCGCCGGCCCTCTCGATGACTGCTATTTGCGAAAATATGACAAACCAATCAGAAAACGTTTAATGACTGAGGTACTTTGATAAAAATAATCCAGAGCACTTGAATCGTTTATGGCATTTTGTTTAAAAAGCGTGAAAAATATATAGTCTTACTGATAGTACAAAGAACATAGTTAACAGTAGTTAAGACCAGGGTTCGAATCCCCACATGGGTACAATGAGTGAAGCCCATTTCTGGTGTCCCCCGCCGTGATATTGCTGGAATATTGCTAAAAGTGGCGTAAAAACCAACTTCAGTCAGTCAGTAAATGAGAATAACGTCATGAACCGTGAGAGATTCAATTACAAACACAAATGTTTGTTTACATTACGGCTCTCATGGGGGATAGGGTTTAGGACGGACGTAGACTTTGGGTTCTTTTTGAGTGGGCATAATGAGTGAGTGAGTTAATATTTAACGTCACATCGGCAATATCTCAGCCATATCGTGAATTTATGCAATAAATAGAGAAACATTTTGGAGAGTAAAACCTGTCGACGATGGACAGTAAAAATACTAGAATATCACATATGTGAACATAAAACTAGCATTTTAAACTAAAAGATTCATAATTAAAGAAGACAATACAATATAAAACACGGGCTATAAATCGCCAACAACTGAGGGTAGCTCGCCATAGCTGGAACCATGGGGACTTACATTACTTTTGCTACCTGCATGGACCCTAGCTGGATTTACACCATCCCTTCAACCGCTGGCGATGTAGGAAGATTTAGCCGAAAGTTAACATAACAGAAATACTACGATTAAAAGGTATGGTTATGCGAAATTGACTTTCAAAGTGTTTGGGACTTACGTGCCTTCTCAGGAGAGTGGACATAAACTCAGTGTGTAATTGGTCGATCGTCCGTGAGCGATTTGTTCATTTCCATCAACCACCAACTTGTAACAACATATTAGAGGAGATTAGCCATGTACCATAGCACCCGAATTTCAAAGCGTTCCACTTGTCGACGTGAGCTTTATG